AAGATTTGTTACATGTAATAAACAAATGAACAATCAATTGAAATACTTCATCTTTCAACGATCCAATAATATTATCAACTTCAGTACAATAATTCACTACCTCTATTCCTAATGAGCGTCATATGCAATTAGGCCGAGTCGCCTGCATTATTCCGATTTTGCAATGGTAATATTGCACTCGTCCCGGCCTGATTGCACGTTCATCATTTGCATCTCCACTCCATCGGCTTTTCAAAAATATATTCATTGCTGCACACTGTTAACGACATAACTTGAAAGTTCTACGTTCAAGTTCCGTTAGCTAAACGAGTCCTTATGTAATGGATTGATTTATTCGAGATGATATGTGCTAAGCAATCCACCTCACTATCAGTTGAAAATTATTCATGAATGAGTTCAGTTGCTCATTTTATTAGTACAAGCGTGTCATTTTGAACAGTCATTTCTCAACATTGTACGTAAGTTTATTATGTGCTGCACTCAGTTCTCATTCACTTTTATTATCGATACCCACTCAAATTCCACCACCAAATTCTTCAAATGCCAATCGAATGTAACAAATTATTACTGAAGTAAAAATTTCAGTGCCGAATTCCAGATTTCAATTCCACTCTCTGAACAAATTTGAATTCCTCTAAACGAAGTAATGCATTCAAACCATTTTACGAGGCGGAAAATTCGAACATATTTTATTTACGTAAAGTAAAATTGTTAAGATGTACTTTGTTGGATGTCTGAACGCACGTTTATACAAAATCAACAAATTCATGAGCTAACTATAACGATAAGTACAACATATTATCAAAACGGGATAGATATTCGGTCGATTTGTTGGGTATATGTAGTTTCTTGAGTGTAACATCGCCATAGCTTTCGAGTGAGTTTGCTATACAAGTTCAAAATGTTGAAGATTTTAATTCGAATCGACAGATATCTAGCAGTAACATATGAAACGGATTAAAATAGGATATAAAACCAAAATGAATACATTGTAGTGCATGATCAGTTTTGTTGAGATCACAAAACAGAGGTTATCAACGTACAGAAAAAGGTGTTGGTCGTAATGATTAGAAAGAGGAACAAATATCGTATTTATAACAGATGAATACAACATACATGTGATTATCTGTGACGCAAGTCGTGGCTAGGCACACTTCTTTGGTTACAAGCCAAATCCAAAGTCTTCAGCCATCCATGGATCCAACTGCTTGCCTTCGATGGATCCATGGTGCGAATTTAACGTCTTCGTTTAACTCGTGAACCGAGCAATTGCCAAAATTCACAGCTAAAGAAATTACTTGAGATTATGGAACAGAGCCGATCAAATATACAGCTGCGGAATTAGCTGGGAATGGTCAGCGGGTCGCTCATCCAATATTCTCAATACATAGCTTCACAAACCAGCTTAATTCAGTTCATAAACTGGATCTGGCGAACAGACCGTCAGTGGCCAACCTGCGATATGTATGAATACGTACACGAGTATACAATATGAAATGACAATCATCAAATTGAGGTTGGATCAAAATATCGATGTATAGCAAACAAAGCACCAAAGACAAGTCTTCATTGATGAAGAGTTTTGAGGTATGCAACATAGGCATCAATACCACTACGCATTGACTCTTCAGCTCGATAACCGAAGTAGTAGAGCATAAACATAATCAAAAGCAACATGAATACGATGATATAAAAACGATTGTGGTATCGAAGATGTTGAAAGATACGTTTCTTATATTCAGAGATGTTTTTCGACGATGGAATTTTGTTGACGACACTTGTATATGAGGATTTCAATGGAGGTTTACGTTGTTTTAATGTGCTTTGAGAATCATCTGTAAGCGGATGAAACTGAGAACGGAGAGGATATACGGTGGATCTTGTGAACGGCTCTGATGAAGACGATTGAAACTGCTTGGAGAGCGGAAGAATACTTTTTCGAATCGGTTCGTAAATTTTCGGTGGGGTCACTATTGGCTCAGGCAGTAAGCTCGATGCACTTTTTGTCTCGCCTTTCAGTTTACCTGAACGTGATTGCGATCGAGATCGCACGACTGGTTTCGATTTCTGTGAGGATTTCGTCGTTGTACGACTCGGACTTTTCGATGGAGAACGCTTTTTTGCTGATGTGATTTTTCTGGATGGGCTTTTTGAAGCGCTTTTCTTTTTGGATGGGCTTTTTGAAGCGCTTTTCTTTTTGGATGGGCTTTTTGAAGCGCTTTTCTTTCTGGACGGACTCTTCGATGAACTTTCTAGAGTGAGCATTTTTTTGACCGAATCCACTTTGCTTGACTTAACTGCTGTTGTTGATTTTAGGGGACTATACGTACTCGTTGACTTTGTTCTTGACGGTGATTTTGAAGCATTACGTTGGGATGGTAAACCACCCGATTTGCGGGTTTTCGATATTGAGCGTGATCTTGATTTTTGCTGAAAATAATTTTCATTTTGAAATACAATCGGAACTTGATTCTAGACGCCTCAATGTTGCTTGTTTTCTGACTGGTTCACAGATTCAGTAACACTATTTTGTTGTTCCATTTTGATTATGTTTCACATCAATCGAACTATTCCATTCAATAAAATATTTATCATGACTTCTGAATCATGTCGAAAACAACTGCCGTTCAGCGCATTTATTCTCTGTCAAAAATGCATATGATATTCTTCACTCACTCGGCGTCAAGGTCACCAAGTGACCTATCGACCGATGACCGTATCTTCAGAGAGACGCCACTATTGATTGGCGGGAAATGAACGCATCCTATTTGTTTTATAATAATCATATAGCATAAAAATCAACGCCATTCAGGATCAGTAGCTGAGAGTTTTGGTGGTGAATATTTCACAGAGCATTTTGAATCATAAATTTGTAAATTTGGTGTATTCAATCATTCTACAACATATGAATGTGAAAGGAATTAAGACATTGAACAACAACCATCATAAGTTCAGGATCAACAAAAAAGTGTGAACGAGGTTCCCAAGTAGATGCGGACAGTGGATATCTTTTCCAATGTACCAAATATTGATTTTCACCCTCTTCACGTTTTACGTCCAGCACTTCCTCAACCTATAACAAGTGTACCAGTTGAATGAATCCATCCATATTCAATGAGTCGTAGAATATAATTGTATGAAAAGGAAAAGATACTTCTTCATACGTGGAACGCTTGTTTATTGTTTAGAAGTGTAGGTAGGTGGAATTGTTGAGGATAAAAGAGGGTAATGTCAACAAACAATCAGACTCGAAAACTGAATCGAACCATATTGATATGAAAAATTTAGTAAGGGAGTTTAATTGGCGAAAAATTGTCAACATATTCGAGTATTCATGTTTGATGCACTCAGAGCTGGGTTCACCTACTTGCTCTGTCCCGGAAAAAAAAAGATGCTGACTGAAATCGAGGAGAAGCAGAACGGATTTGACCATACGAGCTTAAAGTATATGTCGTCGATGCTATATTCTATAGCTTTGTTCGGGTAGGTACCTAAACCGAAATCACGCCCAATAAAGGGATTTGATTTTCATTCAAAGTTCAGTATTTGAGGACGGAAATACATGAACAGAAGAAATATATATGTTGATTTAGAGAAAGTTAAAAAAGTGGGAATTTAAATTGGTATGAGAAAGTGTAAATTGGTAAGAACGATCTATGAAAATAGCAAACGCTGACCTCGTATTCTTGAAGAGTTGTACCGCTGAAACGTCCAGTTGTTGGCATACCGAATTGAACAACGAAGGGGCGGAGGTTAAATGTAGGCAACAACAATGATTTGTGCACACCCACAACAATGACAATAGCAATTCCAAAAATTACGATACTATTAGTAATGAAGATAGTAATGAATTACAAACTGATGTATTTAAAATGAAATAAAAAGTAAGTTATTAACTGACTTTTAGCAAACTAAGTTATTAATTCAATCGCGTGTACAGTTATTTGTATTCTAAGCCTGTGCATCATATGAAAAGTTGTATACTATTTTTATGCGATATATCGACAATTCTAAATCGTAAGCACCATTGTACGCACCTCAATCCAATACATGTAACTGCATGCTCCTTCATTAATTACGTACACATTTAAATAGATTGATTAACGCATTAACTTGGACTGCATTGATGAGAGCATTATTACAAACAACATTATAACTGTAAACCTGACAACAGCAATCTCAAAAAAGTGCTTAGTAGGGTTATTAATAAACAGGTTTTTGAGAAATGAGGTGTTTATTTGTTACATTCTGTCATGAAGCGTGTTTGACGAACGCCTTTTATCAGGAAAGTCCGTGCTTCAAGAACAGTTCGATTGAGCAGATCCAAATGACATGGTCTTTGATGCGTCGAACTGTGGGTCGTGATCCAAAGTTTAAGAAACGGAGAATGAAAAATAATGAAATTCTGAACACAGTTTAAACTGTTTCGAATTTCGAGTTACTACAGAAGTATAGTTGCTTGCTTTCCGAAACACCGGAATATTTGGAATTGTTTCGTTTTGAAATCAAAGTTTCACTTCTGAGACCGAAATTTCATTGAGAAACTCGCTTCTAAAATGAAAATTTTCAATTCGAAACGAGAGGAATATATGGGTGAAAATCGGAATACCTTATGGTATACCTCACCTCAGTGGGATGAGCTTCAGCCCCGTGGTTTACCTCAGCCTGAGCTCAGAATGAGCCTCAATCTGAACACTGAGATTGGCTTCAATTTAAGTACCGTCTAAAGTTTAATCGTAAGTCTGAATGAGTTGCAGACTGAATTTTGTGGTGAGCATAAGCCTAAGCACGAGACAAATCTCCGCCTGAGCCTTGTCATAAGTCTCAACCTCAATCCATTGATAAGGCTCAGCTCAATCGTAGGCAAGCTTCCACCTGAGCCCTGGTTGAATTTCTGTCTTATCTTCGTGCTGAGCTTCAGCCTTAGCTAGGGCTTAATTTCAGCCCACGTCACGTTGTAATTCTCAGCCTAACCTCCGCGTAAACCTCAGATGACCGTAGGGCTCAGACTAATCCCAAACCCCGTAGNAATATGATTTGTTCAAGGAGAACAGTTTTATTTTGTTCGTTGCGAAAATTCAAGAAACATCGAACGCAGTTCCGTCGAAAGGCAAACAAAGAACAAATTCCGTCCATACTCAACAAATTCCGAAACGTTTCAAATTGTTTCCATTTATCTCCAATCTCGGTTTCGATCTAACAAATATCCAAAAATTCGGATTTCAGATTGGTACAGAATCGAGATTTCGATGAAGCAAAATATAAGATGTATATTGTTGGAGGCTTGTACATGGAAATAGGTTCGCGTTAAAATTTATCACGTGAAAAGAAGCCACGATTGAACAAAAAAACGCTCCGATAATGAAATATTACTTTTCAATAATGGTATATCAGTAAAGGACTAGAATTGCAGTCAAGAATTTACAAAAAATGTCTCTAGACCACACATGATCGATGTGTATCAAGAGGAATATCTTTTAGAACACAACGGTTAATCGTCAGTGTTACGTAATGGTCTCTGAATTAGTTTTAGAAACGCAGGGAATTTTTGCCGGTGGAGCAACGTTTTTTGGGTGGTATTTTTTTGACACGGAACAACCGCTTTTTCTAGTCTCCTCTAGTCTTTTAAGAGGAGTACCGTTGGTAATCTATCCTGTTTTTGGTCACATTTTGAATATGCACATCATGGTTCTACGTAGGGAATTGGACGAATATTCGGGCACGTGAACTCCATTACTGGAACGAGTGGATGAAACATTTGGAACATGAACCTCTCCAAAATAGATAATAGGTACTGCGCTCATACGCTATTATTTTTGATCCCGTTACGAACACGTACTGCATGTAGTGATGTCTCTATTGCACGTTTTTGAAAACTGTTCTGTTCTATTCCGCTCCAATAACGGCTCTATTCTATTCTATGCTGTGCGTTCTTCGTTTGAGAACTATTCTATTCTGTTCTATTCTATTCTACTTTCCTAAATTGTGCTATACTGTTCTAAACTGTTCTATTTTGTTCCGTCAGTCAGAAAAGTGACACGACAAAACTTGTGATAAGTAGGGTTGGAAACGTGGTTTTTTGGCGTTTTCAGTGCAAAATGGAGATTATTTCGGGTGGGAGAAGATTGTCTACGTAGGCAGTTGACAGTTTTTGGCCGTGATGATTGGAGGAAAACGGAGGGTTTCGAGCTCTGGTAACCAGCAACATTGAAGAACAGAGGATTCCCGTTTCATCCCAACAGTTCGGTCAGAAACTGATGCACGATTTCCGGTACTAGTGAGTTCGGAATGAACTGATTCGTTCAATCGGACTCGAATCGTGCAAGCATTATCTTTTATGGGAGGTGTAAAATGTGAGCAATTTCTGTGATGGACTGCTCATAGAGTTTAGAGTACGACCAACATTTGAAAATAGGGTGTTCATTCGGAAACACAGTTGCAGCCTTTAGTTGTTTCTTGAGGGAATTCCTCACAAACAGTCTTTGGTGTTTTGAGAATTAACTGCGATAACTCGCCCTTGATGAGTTGTTTCACCTCTCACTGATGGCCTTTCGTCTCTCAAGTGGTATTGAATATGAAGTTTCTCAGTGGATTCGAATCTCTAACAGCTATCAGCACCGAATTACTTGAGAAACTATTTTTCCGTCATCCTTGCAGAAGTGCGAATAAATAATAATAGGTAAAATAAAAATAGTATTAATAAAAAACAATAATAATAAGAAAAATGATAATAACTAATAATAAGAATAAATAGTAAAAGTTAAAACAATATAAATAAATGATAACATTAATAAATAATAACAGTCAAAATAATATCAGTAAATGATAATAATTAAAATAACATTGGTTAATGATAATAATAATAGTAATGATAATAGTAATAATAATAATAATGATAACAAAATTAATAATAATAGTAATAATAATAATGAATAATAATAAATAATAACAGCAATAACACAAAATGGTAATTTATCTCACTGCAGTTTTCACGAAGAACAGTTTAAGGAACCACCAAAATCTGTTGGAAACTGTTCTATTCTGTTCTTTTAGGCTCAAAAACGGCTCTATTCCCTTCCAAACTGTTATTAAGGGAATGGAATAGTTTAACTGGAATAGAGACATCACTAATTGCATGGGTGTTGGGTACATTTTCATCTTTCTAATCAAAGCTTTTTCTGCATGCGAAATAATTGATAATGATCAAACGATAAGAATAAGTGATGATGAAATATACAAATATGTTCATTAAGGAGTAACTTTTTGGCCCGGAGGGACCCATCGGGGAGTAAAGTAGCAGGGAGGGGGAATTGCGTATTTTCTCTATGCACACGATCCTTATTGTGTACTTCTCCATATTCTGAGTACTGTAAACATTGTACTTTTAGAGTTCTCAAAACACCATTTGGATGAAAGGTGTAAAACAAAACCTAAAAGAGGCACATATGGGAAATGTAACATAACATACCAGTGGTGCATATATCATTCGCCAAGATTGGCCTGCAGTTATTGAATCAACGTGTTAAATATTAAAATATTAATCAAAGTTCCGAGTATATTTCGTTAATCGTGTATTGATTTTAATTGCCAGAATTGGCCTGTAATATATCATTAATATTGTATTGTTTGTATCGACCGCCGATAATCTATTGTATTATTATTCAGCGGCTTACATAAAGGTAAAAGATTATTGACTGTACATTGGATTTCGTTACTCCGAATGTGGTGATGATGATAATCACTAATTTTTCCATTTTATAAGAACAGAACTCAGTCATTTCTGAGTCACATTTCAAGCCTTTTCTTGCTTAGATGAAATCAATAAGAGCGTAATAAATCCAAAAAAGAGATTTTACCGTGGAATCTCGGTTTATATCCTAATTCGGATCACGAATAAAACTTGACCATTCTTGACCGAACTGAAGGAATTTTTCATCATGTTTTCGGGCAAAAAATAACATAAAAGAGGATTCATAATAGAATTTTGATCTTAGTAGTGTCCGGCTTAGCGAAGTGTTCGAAAAACATTCATCTGTTATTTCAGTCATTTTTACCATGCGACGCCATATATTCATTCTTTGCTTTGCTTAAAGTAAAGCTGTTCTCTTCGAAATGTAGAGAGCTGTTTTCCTTAAAGCATAACTGAGTCACCAGCCAACAATACAGAGGTCGTTTCAATCGTAATGAATTCAGAGCTGGAACTGGCTAATAACCATGGTTCATTAAGTAGGGTCAACGGTGGGATAAACTAGTAAATTAAAACCAAGTTCCAGTGAAAAATTTCTCAATGATACTGAAAGTTAATCATACGACATTCGCTCGAAGAACTGTTGCTCATATCACTGAAGGATACGATTCGGATTCCAATTTAACATCCTATACTCACTCTTCTAACATGTTCTGAACTCCAAGAACAGTTTATCAGCCAAATGTTGATGTTCTACGCTATAAATACGAATGCAGCTAGTGTTGATGATGTTCATAAAGTGAGATTCCAGTACATGAATGACAAGTATTGAAACGACTTTAGAGATAGGAGCTTCCTGCTCTCTTCGCCATGTTCTCCATGTGTTTCCAATCTCTGAACAACCTGAATTTTAGGGAAAACATGGTCAATAAATGTTTTCTTATCTTCAGACTACAGGGACCATCTAGTGCAGCAACTTGAAAGACTAGGTAGATGATTTTATGCTCCAACAGAAAAGCGTATTTGCTAATTTCGCCATCATGTGTCTATGATTTTGGAGCACTCCAAGTGATATGCAGAAATAATCCGAGAAAATGACCTGATTTACGATCAACGGATATTTCAGTAACATCAATGACTCACTTCAGCAACACACCCAGATCCATAGTAAGTCGTCCGTTTCTGAAGCTAAACTTAATTAGCAATATATTTGACGCCAGTTTTTGTACGCACTCAAGAAAGAAAGAATTATTAGAGATGAGATTTCATATAGATGCGGAAATGCTGATTTCTTTCGATCATCAATGCACGCCAATATCCGCAATAGAAGTTGTTCACGATGAATGTGCGATACAATTCATCTCGTATTAAAAGAAATTGCTAACATTCAGAGGCTTATTTCAGCATGTCTTTTTGGAATAAATCGTTGATTAAATGAATAGATTTATGCTGTGACGAGTTTTCATTATCGACACTTAACAGAAAATGAAGCGGAAATCGATACACTCGAAACAAAAATGCATTTAATTCGTTTATAATATAATTCTCAATCACTGAATTAATTAAATGGTTAAGCCACCGATTTATTTTGTAACTCATTGACATGTTTCAAAGCCCCTCATCTAGTGTTTTTCGATTCGACCACATCGTTTCCTCCTCAAATCACTTAACTATTTAATTATCCATTAACTGTTCAATTATTCTATTTTACCAAACAACGCTTTATCGCCAACTACTTCTGCTTAGCATGCGCGATTTATCATAGTTGAAAATTAGAGTGACTTTATTAGCTCACTTAGGGTTTTGGTTTGTTTTTGTCGCAGTGAACTCTTATGTCATACATTCGTCCACTTCTCGAGGATGGTTTCAAACAGTTTCGAATACAGATGTGCTGCTAATGAAGTATTGTATGTGAGATGTCGAAATTAGTGGAACATACAAGTGAAGAAGAAGAGAAAGTTTATCAACTGGTAGATTGTCACGGAGATGGTATTTTGATGCCATGGATTAAATATGCTCGGCAAACAAATGATTACGGCGTATTGGATGAATACCTAGAAACGGTTGTATGTTTATCAGATCACTTTATTCATCATTTCATGATACGATATCGAATAAATCTACATGCCAAATTTTGTAAGAGATCAATAATCAGTTGATGATTTGTTTTCGCATCATAATTTCAAATCATAAATTGAAGGTGAAGTCATTTTTGTACAACGGTGGTAAAGGAAAACTGATTTCAATATCAGAACTGGTCATGATTCGAAATAAACAACGAAACGCCATGTTAAGTGCGTTACTTCGCAAGAAAGGTCGAGGAAAATGTGGTCCTAATATATTGGATGATATTAATCAAGAAGGTCTTCAAAAAGGTGATGTCATTAAAGGTTTGTATCTAAATACGTTAAACTCTCTCCTTGACTATGTAACGGGCTCTTAGAAATTGTATGCACCTGTTCATCTTAAAAAGTACTTGATTTGATGTTCATTGATGTTATTCATATTCGCAAGCAAATATTGGATTTTCATCCAAAGCAGCGTTTCTTGTAATTTCTGTAATGAATCACTTGTTCGGAATTATCAAAAGCTGGTATGTTTATAGTTTGTTGCATAAATAAGGTATTTTATGTAGGTTCCTGACCGAGTTGTTTGCATGTGAATCTTCATGCCGATTACATTTATTTTTGTCGAATGAATTCGTTTCAGCCATAAAAATACTTGACGGATGTATAAAAGACAATCGTAGCATGAAGTATCGAGAGCTTATTTGGGATATTACTCTCAGAGGTTGGTCTCAATCGTGAATTTACCAACTGATACCATTCCACTATGTTCGGAGTAGATGCCAAGTTGAGAAATGACTCGAGGCTGTGAAATGCATTCGCAAAATTTTTTGAAAACATTGGAGTGATCGTTCGCTGATGTTTGCGTAATTTCTAAAGTTGACAAGATATACTGGTTACAAGTACGAAGAAAGTTCGAGATTCCTAGACACCTTTATCAATGAGAGCTTTAAAAAGCATACAGATTATGCAGGCAAGTGATAAGGCTTATAAAAATTGGTTTTTCCTTGAGAAAGATGCTTGTTTTTTAGAGGATATGTCAAATATGATGACTTCGTTCAAAGTTCACCGCAAAGAAGAATCTTTCAGGAAAAATGGGTGAAAATCTTTTGCATATATGCATGTTGCACAATACAGCTGATCACAACGAACTAGTGCGATTAATAACTAAAAAATATCCGAAAATGGTTAACGATGTTTTTATATCTGAAGACTATTATGGTTGGCCATTTCTCATTTGAATCCATCGCCTTATTTGTGAATTATTTTGCAAATCCAATTTCATACGACACTACGTCTTTCCTGTTCGAATTGCACCAACCATAATACCGCCAAAAAGCGAGGTAGTAATGTTTCACTACGCCCTTAAGAGAGTACCACTTTTTAAAATTCTTCAAACGTTTGACGTTACCGGCATCTCTTGAAGCTACATCAACCAAGTAAATATATCACTAAAACAAATCTTTGTCAAGTTCATTCTAAAGGTCTTTCGCCACTGCATCAAGCCATTGTAAACGAAGATATTGAGATGGTATACTTTTTATTGAAAAATAATGCCGATGTTCATCAACGATGTTATGGATCATTCTTTTGTGCCGATGACCAGAGAGCATCTCGAACTGATTCACTCGAACATGAATGGGTTGACGTTGTCCAGAATACTCGATATACTGGGTGATTTTTACGACATATTTAATGCTATATAATACTGATGTTCAACGAAGATCGATCTCAAAAATGATTACTTTAAGAAGCATGTACTGGGGTGAATACCCATTATCATTCGCGGCATGCACCAATCAACACGACTGTTTTCGTTTACTTCGTGCCTTTAATGCCGATCCAAATATGCGTGATACGAACGGCAATACAGTTCTGCATCTCGCTGTTATCCACCAGTTGACAGTAATCATTCATTTATTGTTCAATAGAAGTTTTCATAATCAGAAAAAGAATCATTCTTTTGGATGAACATACTAATTCTGATTGCTGTGGAGGGTTTTCTTTGGTGCTTGAAATTTTTCCAAAACACTTTAATAGTGGATTAGTAGGAAAGTAACGAAAACTCAAAAGTTGTAGCTAGATTAAACTTAGGTTTAGTCTGAAGGCAGTACTTGGGCTCCAGCCAATGCTTGGTTNTTATGAGCATTGTATGGTACGAGTTGGCGTAGATCAAGCATGACTGCTGATTGATTGATGAATTCGTTGCAGGAAATGTTTACTTTGGCATACAATCTTGGTGCTAAGCTTGACGTAAGAAATGAGCAAAAACTTACACCCATGGCACTCGCTGCAAAACTTGCCAAAAAAGAGGTTATTTTCCACAAATAAAAGCTTTTTCATAAGAAAGCAACGATCACTTAACTGAAGAAGAAAATAAATTGGAGTAATTGCAGATGTTTGATTTGATACTTGAAATTGAAAGCGATGTTTTGTGGAATTATGGACAAGTCAAATGTACGGCTTTCCCGTTGGGTGATATCGATTCTGTGAACGAACGCACTGGACATTTAAATCACGCATCAGTGCTTCCACTTGTTGTTTACGGGGTTTAGATTTATATTTTCGTTCATACGTAAACCTAGAGCAGCTTAGTTTCCTCTTTTTTTCTTTTGGTTAGTCACTCATCTGGACTAAGATTGCAACCAAATCGCCTCCATCTCCTTTTACAATAAAATTTAATAGCCGCTCTAAAGGTTGAGAAGAAAATGTTACAATTATTTCAAGAAATTTGTTCTGTTTCCTTAAAACCACCTTATCTTAATGCAGATTTTATCCACTAGTAGGCGGTCTTGCTCACATTGAGAAACACTGCATTATAACAACATTCTTGAACCGGAAACTTCTAATCAACTTCAAAAATATCGCTCCAAAATTGTCAGTAAATTGTAATTATAGGGAAGTAGTTGAGTTAGTAGTATAGAAGTTGCGTTTAACTTTGATTAAAAAGATTCGATGTTCTAAATAGGCAATAGTTGTAAATTTCATCAAGTCATTATCGTGAGTTTTGGTACAAAATATCTTTGCTTTTTTTTGATAATTGAACTTCAGGATAAAAGTCGACATCTGGATTTCTTAGATGGATTGTTGGAAGACTTGTTAGAAGCAAAATGGAATGCTTTCGGTAGAAAAAAGTATCATATTGGTTTCGTTGGAATTTTCTTTGCATAAACTTTTTTCCACCAATAACAGTGTAAATACCCAAAGGTGTACATATTGCTGACTGATTACACATGCAGTTATTGTTTGTCGCTCATAGGATATATTCCGCACATGGAACATCTGCAGTTTACAAAATTTGCTAATCCAACTTAGTTTAAAATTGCAGATTTTTAATCTCACTCGCCAATTACATTGTTTATGTGCTGTCATTTTATATTGCGTTCATGACTCGTAGATTTGCCGTAAACGTTAGTTGACCTCGTTGCTTCATTTTTGTTCATTCTTTATTTGTTTCAAAATGCAAATGAGGGGAAACGGGACCAATATCTAGCGATCACATTCACAACAGAGAAGATTTCCAGAAAAATGCTACGGAACAATGGCCGGACCAATTCATGGCCAACGAAAATATGTCGGATGATTGGGCTTTATCGTACGAGAAGCCCTCAATGATTGAAATTGTGTGGGAAGTGAACTCAGAGGCAGAACAGTGTCACTTATGGCGATACGATAACCACGATACGACATATTCGCAAACAGTATGAATTTATCGAAAACTTGATTGTTTGTTACATTTATACTTCATGGGTATATATATAAACTATCATTTGAGATCCATGCGAGCGACTATCCATCATTTGAACAACAAACAACTGAAGAACATCGTCGTTTCTATCAATAAATTACTTTTTCGAAATGTAATAGAAAATGGTAAAGCAGAATTGCGCTAACCAAATTTGAGCTTCACTTCTTAATCGATTAAATTTTGTTTTGTTCATGAAAGATACATTGTAATTGCACGAGCATGTATTTTATAAACGTGCATTCATTAAAAAATTTTCAAACGGCATGAACATCAGTAGCACTGCCAAAATATTGAACTGAAATCATGAAAAAATCATCATTGAAAATGAACTTTGAATTCAAGATCCGCTTAACGTGCGAGTGTATCATTTTGATATTAGCTTTAACGCAGTCATTCCAAGAGGTCATCGATATACGCCGCAGTGGACATAAACGTTGGTGGCGAGTTATGGTAAGTTTTGTTGAATTTCTTGGGAGAATAGTTTTTGTTACTTACAGAAGTGTGCTATCAATTAATACTCAACCACAAAAATACTCTGTTAAGTGGTGATCTGACAATGAGATTATTTGAAAAGTTAGATCCAATTCAGCAAATCACCAACAAATATTAATTTTTAGAGCGCATTTCCAAGTGAACTGCTGCATAAGTTGTCATTTGCGATGGTACTCTTAATCGTAGTGGTTCGATATGCGTGTAGTTTACACCCAATGACAGTTCTCATCGAAAACTTCCTCGCCATTATCGCAGTTCTAACGACGTCAATGCATTTTCTCTTTTATTGCAGGTTTGTATGCTTCACTTACTTCCAACAGCTTACAGACCGAACTTAGAATGCAAATTCATACTTGAAAATCATTTTAGTTTATTAATGCACATCCTTCTCAGAGCAAACAAAATCGCATCTTCTAAAAAATCAATTATTTCCTCATTAAAAGAAAACATTCGCGAGTGCAGTGGACTGAACAGTGAAGGTTTCGTCCCAACAAGAACTTTCATTTGAAATTTTCCATTGAATCATAGAAGAACTAATTCAACGGCTCTTGTGAAACGTAACAGAATTCAGATTCATTCCGATACTGCATGAACAAAATAGCAAATACGCAAAGTTTATTCGTCGCACTCAAGAGCGTTGAGCAGCGATTGCATTTTTATAACTCGTACAAGACAAAATTACACTGCTCAAATAAATCTTTCAGAGGTGTTAAATTTGTTGGACCGTTCGTGCTTATGGTCTATAAGATCATTGTTGGCGATATTTTACGCTTCTTTCTTATTTATCTAATTTTCGTCATAGGCTTTTCGCAAGGTTAGTTACATTCCAAAGCGATGTTAACATACAAACAACTGTTGCACCACTTCTTTATCCTTGGATTTCACTCTTATCTGATTCGGAAACAAAGCTTTGTTCAACTGATTTCTTTCGCAATATCTTGAAGCATTTAATCGCTGAAAAAATACAAGTTAAGACTCACCGATTGTATGTTCTGAGAAGTGGATTGTCATAGAGCATAATTAAGTTAGAACTGTACATACATAAGCAATTGTAACGATGTTGAAGCGTTTTTTGTGCTGTTTACTGGATGCGAGCATGAGCACCAGCAAAGATTATCACGCAATGAAACGTCGGATTTCCAAAATATTCTCATTGGGCCATTTGAATCGTTTATGATTATGTTCATAATGAGCGTTGGTGAATTTACATCATTTTACAAAACCTTACATGACTGCAGCAGTTCACTTGTTCCACTTGGGAAGGTAAAACAGCGTTATCCTTCAACTATTTGTATAATTCTTCCCGAGAAATTTCGTCACAAATAATATATTCATTTTTAAAATAGCCTATATCTAGTCGTTTTGTTAGTCGTTTTGCAGAGTATCACCAATACTAATCAAGTGGATTTTGTTGTCGGCATATACTCGCATATTTGTTTTGTGTTCATCAAGTCTATTTACATTCCTAGAATCCATTTCATAAAAGTAAAATCAAATGATTTCATGGATATGAATACTTGTCGATGACATGAACTTCTTGCCAGGCAACATTTTCATTCAGCTTAAAGAAACGGCAATTCAGATAATGTTTCTTATATACGAACTGCTTGTGACAGTAATGTTGCTGAATCTATTAATCGCAATGATGACGAGAACGTACGAAAAAATATCTGAAACACAGAAAGAATGGAAAAGACAGGTGAGAGGATGAAACCGATTCTCTGTTGATATTTTCATTTACGAATCATTCAGTATTCAGAAAACTACTACGTTTATAAACGAATCGTCTTACAATCACTATTATTAACAAGTTGCATTTGTTTAATGAATTATCAGTCAATATTTCAAACTTTGAAGTGGGCACAAGTCATTCTATTATTGGAGCAATCGTTAAAACCGCATGATCGTCTCATTTCGATGCTAAAATATTCACGTCCGACTCGAAGTGATAAAACACATCGATCATTTGTTGTTCGTCAACGAATTGTGGTCAATTGGTTTCGAATTATCTTCCATTGATGAATTCAAATCACACTGATAAATTAATAGTCTCAATTTTGAATCCTTTTTCGACAATAGAAATTCTATGAAGCGTCCAATTATAGAGAAAAGCAAAAAAAAAACTGAATTACAGTTGAACGAAACAAAATCTGAGCATGGGTCAGCGGATCAAACAAATAAAAAGAGATATGACGAAGAGCCAAGCGATAAAAATCAACATCAGACAGCCAAAGAGCAGCGACTATTGGTAAGACATCAATATTACCTTATAATATGCTGAAAACTAAACCTGATTGTAGGCATTGTCGTCATTGTCTGTTATTCGACGCCCCTCAGCTCAATCAATTCTCGATCACACCACTGCTGAATGGCATCATGATGCCAATGGAAATATAATTGTTACAGAACTTTAAAAACTGATTAACTTAACCGTAATGGAAATATAATTGTTACAGAACTTTAAAAACTGATTAGCTTAACCGTATGATTCACATTATCAACACCTGAATTATGGAACAAATAAACCCTAAATTACCCATGAGAACTGAAACACATTTCACAATCAAGTTCATGTCCATATAAGCTGGCAGCAAATTGTGAAATAAATCAAGTGGAGTCAATTTGTTTACTAATTTTAAATTCAACCAGTGATTAATCACATTACAAGGTTCAAGCAACCAGGAGGCATCAATAATTCATTTATTATACTAAACGAGGGAATAATCTCCACTGAAAATTCTCAAATATGTCAATAATATCAGCATTCCCAGAAGCAAAGTACAAACTTCCGAAAGGGATTCCATTCGAAGATTCACAGTGCGGAGGAACTGACCGATTCATCATGACAAAAATTCCATTCACACAATGAAATACAAATGAGAAGATGAAAAAAATTTGCGAGATAAAAAACAACAAAGTTATAAACAAACAAGCTGAAGTCACACAGTATAGAATTGAAAACTAAATGAAAATGTCGCACAAAAGTTTTGTTCATTCTCTCAGGTATTCATAGTAACAAACGTTCGTTGATTATTTGGATGATGATTTTGGCCATTTTTTGGTTGTTTAGATTATTTGTGGCACGGATATGGTTTACTCACACGATCAAGTATGTTGCGACGTGAACACTAAACCGTAAGAGGAATGCAAAACGAATTTATATGATGCTCACGAATACTCAATGAAATGCAAAAAGATAAGGAATGAATTCAAGGCTTCAATCCATCATCCATTTACAATGATCTAACAAAATAAATATCTTCAACGTAACAAAACCGCAATTTTCGGCTGTCGGTTATTCAACAACTGGTTATCAGTGAATTCCAACCGTTACCTCTTTCGTATTAATTTAAACGTAAATCTTTAATTAATTCTGCCGATCACTTTGATCCATTGTAGAAACACCAAAATCAAGAAAGTCAACTTGGATAAAATGAAAACTTTCACAGCTCATTCTCACAATACTTGCACCTAATTGTAAACGAATGTGCACCTCAATGTAAGCACGAACAGATAGTCGAAAATAACGCTGAACTACAGCAGCTATAGGTAAAAATCTAACAAGGTTATTTGAACAGCAATTGGTTTCTTTGTTGATTATACCACTCAGTTAGTATCACACTGATAGTGGTTCACTACACTCAGTTAATCTCGCTTTTTGGGTGGTTGCCACGATGCAGTTAAATAATACGAGAAATACATAGCGAATCCGTGAATTTGGAGTGCAACGAGGAAGAAAATATACCAAATAATGACCATTGGGAAAGTACCCTTGAAAGTGGGCGTTTGGCTGTGTTCCATATCGAAAAGGTAGTCGATCAATTCGGGCAATTGTCCACCCATTCCAATTGCACAGGGTAATATTCCAGTTAGAAATTGGCCATAGTAATGTATCCGCAAAAATGATACCTGAAATAAAGTAAATATTGGAGTACAGCGAACGTATTATCGAGTATCACTGTTGCTCATAGTTCTATCGACCATTTATTCACAAACAACATCACACTTCAAATTCCATGGTGGGTAAAAAGGCATTTTAAGGATGTACTTGTCAACTAAATATCATTGAGAAATGAATGAAAAATGTGGGAACACAATCTTAAAGTATATCGCACTTTGTTCCTTTGGAATGATGCCATAGCAAAGAGTATCGGAATAAACGACAGTGACCAGACGTATTCCCATGGATATGCACTCGGTAGATCAAGCGAAGTGTAGAATGGAAACTTGATGCCGAGTTCCCTCACCATCACTTCACCACCTACTTTCATCCACATCGCAACAAGTACCATGATATGCATCGCGAACAAGAATTTCAAGTATGACTTGTACTGCACGCTGCAACGAATCTGCAACATTATTGCAAACTTTCTCAACATTTGCTTACGTTTATAATAATCACTGACGATGAGTTCTGGCTTGCAGCAAACAACCTCTTGCTTTCGACAAATTTCGAATTAGATAAATTTCAAGCACAATATCAGCTGAAGACTGCCACTGCATCTGACCCCTTCTATTAAGAGGTTTCAAAGGCTCAGATTTCAAAAGGCCTTTCAGAGTAGCATCCAAAGCACATAGAGTCGAAATTAAGCAGGTAATAAACAACACTGCTAGAAGATTAATGACCTGTCTTCGATTTATTCATCAGCGGTCATTTACTTTACTCCAAAATCCCGTTTTCCAAAACCGTATACAATTTAGCAAAGATAAAATTAACTAAAGAAAGAAACAACCATAAATGTACGGAAACATGATCTGCATTTGGTGGTAATAGCTATCTAATTTTTCGTTTATTTCGATGGTTTTATTCACGTACCTATATTGGTAATGAGCAGCCACTCGTTGCCGATGCTTGAAATCCGTCCCATCAGTTCCTATAGCACGCGGCCCTGAACGTGAAGACATTGCATAAAATCACCTGAAAGTGAATTTATTTTAAATTATTATCAATAGAATATCGTTCAACATCTCAGCGAATTGCATCTAAAACTATGCATGAGCCCATAGGCCCTGAAGTATGTCGCAGGGCAAAAAACTTAGTAACTATAAGGTTTAGGTTGATATAATTGAAATTTCGTTCGTACACATTCGCATGTTATTGAACTAATAAAGAAGTCATAACCGAAACAAACTCATAACAATTTTCAATTCCGTTACATAAGTTTAAAAACATATCATGGAATAATGCTATCAAATGTCACTGATATTAGCCCATGATTACTTGCTTAACTTAGCTAAACTATTTCCACATTTATTGAGCACCCAGTAATACGGAACTGCAAATACGTACGAATGAAACGTCGTCTTAACTTCAGCATTATACTGCGCACAACAACCAAAAACCCACTCTCCTTAGCCAAGAAAAGGAAATTATCTGAAATTTTCAAACTTTCGTCTTGAATCATTACAAAACCATCTTAATTTCTGAATTTGTGGTGAGATTGTTTCAAATAAAGACAACACTACGAACGATCTTTGATAGTTCGTGCAAAATTGACGACGAGTTATCGTTGTGGGATAGGCGTTTTGATGTTATTTGCAATCTCACCATATAATACAAATCCGTAATCAGCACTAACAACTATTGTTGTTATGAATGATCATTTGATTAGCACCAATTAAATTACCACCAGTGTATTGGAGCCATCCTGACAATATTGCCGTAAATTTCTTTGCTTCTCAAATTCCTCTTATCTCAATTTGTTAGATGTTCTAACTTAGCTAATGTTTACACCTATTTTCGGTGAATTAACGCTATCCCAGTTACATTTCACTTCAGAATTGTGCAAGTACGAAAGGTTGTGGGGAATCTGTTCCAAGATCAAGTCTACTTTTAAGCGTGCAAAACTACAGATATGAGCATTGATAGTATGGTTCGATATAACTAGCAAGTGTGCGCGTTATGATCACCTCGTGTTATGCTGGCGTCGTAAAACGTTGTATTGTAATGGAAGAGGAAATTTAAATGAAAAAACTCTTGGTGGTTTAGAAAACTGGTCTGAGAAACCAAAAACATTCAAGTGTTTGTCGATAGCCTCATGGCAATGTGTGAACAACACATAACATCACATTCATAAATATTCATTCGTACCGGCTAGTCACGACATCACTATACACTTTGAGTGGAAGTGTAAATTTTGTCACGAATATGTTCTTTTTTTGCATACAGATACTTTCGGTTTAGTCATGGTTTGTTAATCTTCATAAAACGAAACTCTCACAAACGAGCAACATTTGGTAATGTGCTAGTGCAGTTGCGAATAGAAATTGACTGAGCAGACGATATTAGCCAACATATAAGACGATATAAGCCAACAATATAAGTCCATCTATTCAATTACACAGAACCTTTCACTTGCGAGTTCAACATTTTAAGGTGATGCTCGTAATGTTCGGTTTGATTTTCCATGAAATAATATGGGCAATTTTGCATATATTATGAAAGCACTCGTAACACTGTTCGTATGTTCAGTTTATCTTTTAGTAGAGAAGATGGGCTAGCAATCGAAAATGTTGACAAGCGAAGAAGGGAGCGGGAGATGTGATTTATGTTTAAGTTCAAAAAATGTTTCAAAACAGTCTGTCGATGTGCTAAAGAAAGTAATTGGTGAAACGAGTGAATGATGTTTAAATGATGGCTCATAAATGTTTGAACGTTTGAATGTCAGTTGTTGAACGCATAAAGCGATGTATCAACAGGAGGGTCAATAGGTCACGTCCGTTAAATGATGAAAATTGAAACGATGAAGCATATGTGATGTTAATTCTTGTTAAAGAATTATGCTGTACGGATCAATCGATCATTAATGTTGCATCATTAACACTTTATCTTTATTTTTACAATGATACCAAAGAAGTTATTGAGACATTCAGATTGAGATTGAGATGTAGATATAGATAAAGATTATCGATCATATAGATGGCATATCACCATTAATACATCCGTACTGTTATGCAACTGTTCATTTTGACTCTAAGTCTACACATCTGCCAAATATTTGCTTCTCTTAATCACTTTTTTCACATTCGCTTCTCATCAACATCTTGCATCCTTCAGTCACTTCCGATTATATGCTTACAAAAACGCAGTTGCAGTTCAACAACGATTTTGACGCCTGAAGCGAAGGCAAAAACACTCCAACAATGAATATCTTTAAAAATTGAACTTTCCTCCAACTCAAGCAATTCTGTCTGAAGAGAATACAATTGTTCGGGATATGAAATTCATTGAGCATTGTAATGGACACTGGCATTATATACTTAAGCATATCCAAGTACTCTTATAATATAAAAGTTATTCATTGTTGTAAATTATTTTGATAAACTAAAAAAGTCGATGGCATTCTGGAGAAACGGAATAGAACTTCAATATATGAAGCTGATCGATTACACTGCAATAAATGACGATTCAAAGTTGATGTATTAAGTATGAACCATCGTAAGAATTCTGCAGCAAACCCCTGAATCTTATTGAAAGGAAGAAGGCAAAATGAACCATTTGTTAGTGAATCAATTGTGAGATGCACAGATCGGTACAGCGTTCGCTAATGATACTCATTCGACAAAATTTCAGCGAAATTATTGATGAAATTATTCAATAAAAAAACTTGAACAGTTAGAAGAAATAAAATAAAAATTGAGGTGACAAAAGGCCATAGGAGTTAATGGTTCAGCATTATATCATGAAAAGGACGATGAAAAAGTGGACCATAGAGTGCTCGCAGCTGAATATTTTAAATGATTGATACATATGTTGGAAATAAATTACACGATTGTATGTAGTTTGATTGCTTAGTTGTGGGTTATTTAAATTTGAATGCCTGATCCATTCGTTCAAGAGTTATGCATTATTTCAGATCAACAATAGGAACAATCCCATTCTTAAAGACATTTATAATTGATAGTGTGTTCTCTTGTGTGTGGTATGAATATTGAATAATGATGGATGACGGTTGATTTGCGCATAAAAGTGTAAAGAGGATTTGTTGTAAGTGATAGTATAAGCTGTTTAGTGATTTGTGATACTTGTAACATAGATCATCATTATTATTATTATGGTGTTGAATATTCCTCAGGCATTCATCTATGCACAGTTGCACCCCACCGTGAAAGGTCAACAACTCAGATGCAAATCATTTATGTAAAACACTTATTCAACTCATACTCTGTACTAATCTCTTTGATAGCAGCCTTTAATCTGATGCCTCACTCCCAAGAAATTCTCCTTTATGCCTTCGTTTCTTTCGTTCAATTACCCTTTCTCATTACTCATTTAATACTCTATTATCAGTTTTTTGACTTCATAAATGAGTTGTTGTGATGATAGCAAACATGTTCAGATGACCTTCTCACTCATACATATCCATAACATATTTATGCCTCATCTTATGCATACACATACATACATCAATTTAATAGTGTAATTATTAAGAATGTTATTACTATTACAATCGTTATGATCGTAATCATCCACACAATAATATTATTATTATCTTTTCTGCTATTTTGGTGAGTGTTGGCTTCGAAAATCATTTCTTTCAGACAACTATCTGAATAAAAACGACAAAATACTGCCATCAGAAAGCGTTTGCTCTAAACATGATGAGAATGTGACAAAAATAATTGTCAGTGATGTGCATAAAATGCTATTTATGATGAATGAAGACAAATTAAAAGACGAAGCTTCATAATGAGTAATTGGAGCAATAACATGCCGTTCGCACAGAGATATTCTCTTTTCGGCAGACAGCATATTCAAATTTTACACAATTATTCATATTTATTCTAAATAGCAGCACTTCACACAACTTTATTCCAATTTGTCATACCCTCAAGCAGTCAAAGCTTCATTTTTTCAACGAAAGATTCTTCTCATAGTTTCTTAAGAAAATAACTTGAGAGTGATTTCCAAGCGCCATTTCTATGAATGGAACTTGAGACTCGATCTGTTATTATTTCAATGACATATTCGGCTTGCCACATATGCTCATTAGGGATACATTTACACAAAATGCCTCTTCTATGTTCGTTCCATAAAAAATATAAAGCGAACATGATTATTTGCTGTCACTCATTATTCGCTTAGAGCCAATGAGCAAATTTTAAATTATGAAAGGCAATCACCTAATTTGCGTAAAGCCAAATAAATTTCCTTTTCGTACTGAGTGGATATCCTGAATACATTTCATAAATCCACGTGTTTTACACCACCTGCTTCACAACTTTGACAGTTTTTGATGATGGCGGTATTTTCAATGCCATCGCTTTCAGAGAATAAATCCATTTTACTAGCCTCACAGTTCGATCATCACTAACTTCACTCATCATGCTTCTTCATCGGATCTCAGAGCTGCATTTCTGTCTATTAACTATCAAAGAATAACGTATGTTGTACACTATCAAAAACTCTTATAGCGAAAATTTTTATCAATTTTACAGAACTATCAAGCTCGCTAATAACTTTATTCAGTTGGCAATTTATTTTTGAGAAATTTTTCACATCCCCATAAAACGAGATATAAGTTGATAAGTAGCACTTAAAACAAATACTGCAATCAGCGAAAAGGTATTCATCAAAACATTGAGCATATTTATCAGAATCTCCTAGTTTAAAAAATACTTTCGTTGGCTCCTCATTTTTCAATCCAACAAAAAGTCCACATTCCACAAAAAATAATCACTAAAACATTTGTTACTCACTCCCAATGAACCGATGATACGAAGATAGCAATTGAACAACCATAGATCATTCAGTGATTTTTAATTGACAATTTTATAAAACTTTCTTCTTCAGTTGTAGTAAATATGTGCATATTGCCTTCGAAATACCGAAAAATAAGTAGAAGCACAATCTTTTTATTTCCGTTATGACACCGCATTTATGAGAATTTAACCCTTCTTGAGAT